ATTTCTAGTTCAGATCTTGAAAATATGTAGGTGGAAAGTATAGTTATTTCAGAGGAGGCAAGGGGGATATGAGGTGGGGGAGAGAAATAAGCTCAAACTTTAAAAAATATTTTATGCTTTAACATAGACTATCGATAAACCCATACTGGCCTCTGGTGGTCAAATGTGAAAATGCTTTCAAGCACAAGGATTAAAGATTATTTTTTTAAAAAAACATATGAATAGTTAAAGATAAGGCAAGCAGATGCTTCACTTTGTGTGAATACTCCATTATAATAAACTCACAGGACTACATATTTAAACTAACTGACTATAGTTTGAAGAGGTCCCGATTCTATACATTTCAATTTATTCAGGACTGTAAGTAGTTATATTGGATGCTATTTAGATACTTGTAATTTGGGGACTCATGGACGTTGCAAGTTATGCAGAAATAGTTAACATTGCATGTATTTTTTTAATTTTAAAAAATTGTATTGTGAATTTTTTAATGATTTATTTTTAATAGCTAAAACTTTTAGAAACACACATAATTACAGAATATCAGGATTTATGGGCTGAAGCGATTGGACAGCTGGTCAGGTGTTTGCCTTGCACATTGCTGACCAGGCTTTGATTCCTGGTACCACTTATGGTCCCTCGACCCCACCTGAAGTGATTCCTGATCATTGTTGCATGAATATTCGTTCAGTCGGAGGCTCTGAGATAAGGAACGCAAAAGAAATTTATGTCATGGAGGGCCCAGGTTCTCTCAGACTTGTGACAAAGGTAGAGAGCCCCGAAATCTCCTTTTATTACCATCTTACAGTTCAATACAGTGAGGTCATCAACAAAGGAGTTACAGGAAGAACATGCAAAACCGAAAGCTTTTCTGCATGCTGAAAACAAACTAAGTACCTAGGATCTGCATACAGACAACAAAAAGGCTAAGTAACCTCCAGGGATCTGTGAGAAAAGAATGACTGACAATTTCAGTATACCGAAATTTATGAAATTATTTACTAAGGCAGCCAAAAGAAAAAGATGTTCAGCCTCATCCAAACCAGTCAGGACACATGAGAAATCTCCCCCACTTTCATGGGTCCCTATGTTCCTGCCCTTATGCGAAGCAGTTTACATGAGCTCATCCTGGTAACTCAGTCCAGCCCCAACAATCATAGAGTGGAAGTAAATCCTGAGTACCGATGAATGTGGGCCCCCCCAAATAAAAACAACAACAATAAAATACCAGGATTTAGAATTTTGGGGTGATTTGGGTCACAGCCAGCACCTTGTATGTAACTGATCCTGGTTTGATCCCTAGTACCACATACTGTCTCCTGAGCACCATGAGGAGTGATCCCTGAGCACATACTCAGGAGTAAGCCCTGAACACCTCCAGGTGTGACCCAACTGTCCACTTCCCCAAAAGATGTTTATAATTTGGGGGATGGTAAGGATTGAAAGGAAAGGGGTATAAAGTGGAAGGTGAAGATATCAATCACAGATCACAGATCATCCTGTTATTCCTCGATTGCCTCAAGCAGGCCCCAGTAACGTCTCCTTCATCCTAGCCCTGAGATTATATTCAAGGCTCTTTAGGAGAATGAGACCCATCATTGTTACTGGTATTTGGCATATCGGGTACGACACAGGGAGTTTGCCAGACTCTGCCGTGTGGGCGGGTTACATTTGGTAGCCGGCAGGAAGATGGGGGCCGCCCCGACCCCCAGGATGGGCCCGCAGGGCGCTAGGGGCAGGCAGGGGGCTGCGCCCCATTGAAGCATCTGTCCTCCAGCTCTGAGCACTCTCGGTGGCGTCCGGCGTGGCCCCGGGGGGTGGGGGGTGCTGTCCCCCTCTGCCCAAGAGTCCCCTGGGAGTCCAAGAGTCCCCTGGGAACCAGGCGGGGATTGTCCATCCTGGTCCTGGGTAATCAGGTGGGCAGCCGGAGGCAGCGGTTGGTTTCGAGGACCACTGGCAGGTGTCAGCCCCAGCCTGGAGTCCCAGCCTGATAGACTGGGCAGAGCCCCCCAAGTCCCTGTCTTCCCTTCCCTAAAAGCCACCCCCCCAACTAGGGACCCAGGGGCTCTTGCAACTGGGAGATGGAAATGTGAGTGGGACGAAGGACCCCCTCGCCCGAGCCACGTGGGCCTGCTGAGGGGCTTCTGGGGGGTGTCTATAGTCTGGCAGCTGAAACCCGGGGAGGGGTCAGCGATCTGGGGGTGCTGCCGGGTTCACATCCGCGAGGCCCCCAAGGCGCAGTGTCTCGTCTGCGTGTGAAAACGGTCACGCGGGGGGGGGGGGGTGGCAGGAGCGATATTAGAGCAGGGAGGGAGCGTTTGCCTCGCATGTGGCTGACCGGGGCTTGGTCCCCCGGATCCCAGAGGGTCCCCTGAGCAATGCCAGGAGTGATTCCTGAGTGCAGAGGCAGGAAGAATCCCTGAGCATCGCGGGGTGTGACCACACCTGAGAGGCTACTTCTGGGGCCTCCTAGAGGACCATCCCACACGCCAGTCCTTTCAGCCATATTATATGTATTTTTTGATTTGAGACCACACCGAGCAGACTCAGGACTCACTCCTGGCGGGGCCCGGGGGATCCTAGGTGATGCTGGGGATCAAACTTGGGTCAACTGCCTGCAAGGCAAACGCCCTCCCCTCGATAGAATCACCCTGACCCCTACACCTTTTTGTTTTAGTTTTTAGTGGTGGTGGCCAATTGTGGGGCGTGGCCTGCGTGCATGTAGGTCCGTTGCGGTGCTTGTACAGTCCTGACTGTGATGCCCACCACCATCCCTGGCACGGCCAGGAGGGAGGCAGGAGCGTAGCACAGCAGGAAGGGCATTCGCCTGGCACGTGGGCCCACCTGGATTCCATCTCCAGCATCCTTGAGCCCCACCAGGTGAAATCCCTGCGTGCAGAGCCAGGAGTAAGCCCTGAGTATCACCGGGTGTGGCCCTTCGAAAACAAAACAAAACAAAACAAAACAAAACAAAACACTCACCAGAGTTTGATCCCCGGCATCCCAGAGGGTCCCCCTGGAGCACTGCCAGGAGTCATTCCTGGGTGCAGAGCCAGGAGTCAGCCCGAGCATCGTTGGGTGGGACTCAAAGAGCCCAAATACAAACAAACAAAAGAATCCCCAATCCAGGGGCTGGAGCAATAGCACAGCGGGTAGGGTAGGGCGTTTGCCTTGCACGCGGCCGACCTGGGTTCGATTCCCAGCATCCCATAGGGTTCCCCTGAGCACCGCCAGGGGTGATTCCTGAGTGCAGAGCCAGGAGTAACCCCTGTGCATCGCCGGGTGTGACCCAAAATGCAAAAAAAGAAAAGAAAAAAAGAATCCCCAATCCGCCCCCCTCCAAAAAAAAAAAAAAACACGACAAGCAACAAGGCACTCACGACCTGTACCGGGTGGACACCCGGACTGCGCGGGACCCCCGCATGCCACGACGCCGCCACCCAACGGGCGTGACTCCTCTCCCCGTAACCCGCCAAGGACCCGCAACACAGAGGGTCTGGGTGGGCCAGGGAGGAGCTTTATTGAGAGGCGAGAGGTGAGACCCGTGGCCGCGCGTGGCGGTGATACAGCCGCGTTTTGACCTTCCGGAAAATCTTCCGCACCAGCGCCCTGGCTTGGATGCCCGAGATCATGTAGGATAGCCAGACGGAGACCAGCATGCTGCATATCACCACGATGATGGGCACGTCCAGGGAGTCCCCGCTGGGCGGCAAGGCTCCGTACACATGCACGCTGAACAGAGCATTCAGCTGGCAGTAACTGCGGACAAGGGGGCGTTGCTGGGGGGGGGGGGGGCACAGCCTCACTGTGCCCCCCGGGCTGGCTGGCTCGGCAAGCAGGGGTGGTGGGAGCTCGCCGTGGCACTTCCCACGGGGTCCATCCTCCCCGTGGGGGCGCGCGGTGGGCGACCCTGGTGCATGAGTCCCAAGCTTCCCCCAGCTCCCTGCCATCTGTCCCCTGTCCCACTTGAGATCGGGAGAGGTGGACGATTCAGAGACCAAACGTTTACTTAGGAGGGAGAGGGCAGGGGTGGGGTTGCCATGGCCACCCAGGCTCAGGGCTCTGGGGTCCCGCAGTTGCTCAGGACACCCTATGCAAGGCCAGGATTAGTCCCATTCCAGGTGCCTTCACCCTGGAGTCTCTTTATTCTTTGTATTTATTTTTTTCCTTTCGGGTCACAGCCAGCAGTGCTCAGGGGTCCCTCCTGGCTCTGCACTCAGGAATTACTCCTGGTGGTGCTCTGGGGACCCTAGGGAATGCTGGGAATTGAACCTGGGTCGGCCGCGTGCAAGGCAAACACCCCTCTCTTTATTCTTATTTAGTAAATCTTGGGGCCACACCTGGCAATGCTCAGAGAGAACCCCTGGCTCTGTCCTTAGGGGCCACTCCTGGTCGGGCTCAGGGACCCTCTGGGATTCTGGGAATTGAACCAAGTCAGCCATGTGCAAAGCAAGCGCCTTCCACGCTGTGCCTTCTCTCTGGCGCCCTGAATAATTTTTTTTTTCTCAGTGTGAATTCAGTGATGCTCAGGAGTTCCTCCTGGCTCTGTACGCAGAAATGAGTCTTGGTGGTGCTCATCGGACCCTCTGGGATGCTGGGGTCCAAACCCAGGTTGGCCACATGCAACATAAACGCCCTCCCCCTTGTACTATGGTTCTGGTGCCTTGAATACATTTATTTTTTCTTTTTGAGTCACACCCAGCGATGCTTCAGGGGTTACTCCTGGCTCATGTACTCAGGAATAACTCCTGGCAGTGCTCAGGGGACCATATGGGATGCTGGGAATCGAACCCAGGTCAGCCGCATGCAAGGCAAACGCCCTACCCGTTGTGCTATCGCTCCAGCCCTGACCTTAAATACATTTTTTTTTAATGGAATGAGTGACTTCCTGTTATCCCTTTACCCCAAAAGCACTTAACTGAAGCAATCTGAGTGATTTGGAATTCAGGTTGAGGAAAACCTCTCAAGGGATGGGAGAAAAGAGGGTGCACCCCTCCTTGTCAAACATACACCATCTGCCGCAAGAAAATATCAGGGTTGCCCAGCCCTGCCCACCTGTACAAGGGGTCCACCACAGAGAGATAGAAGACGTAAATTCCATTCCTTTGCTCAAAAACCACCTTATTGTCTGTCTGGCCACCGAGAACTTCGTACTGGACATCGGGCCACTTTAAGGGATTCGGGTTGTTGGAGTCATGGCAGCTCTGGTAATTCTGGAGGGGGAGAGAGGTGTGAACACCGGGCCTGGGGGTAACGGACCCTACTCAGGCCATGAGACGTCCAACATTCCCTATGGGTGCAGGTCTTGAAGGGCGGTGGCACTGGGTTAGAGGGAGAGAGAGAGTCCAGCCTTTCTCCCAGTGTGCCGTAAGGGAGGTGGAGCCCTTGCAAACGGTTCCTTCCAGGAGGTCAGATTTTGCCTGGGTTGAAAATCTTGCCCTGCCCCCATTTTTTTTGGCTTTTTGGGTCACACCTGGCAATGCTCAGGGGTTCCTCCTGGCTCTGCACTCAGGAGTTCCCCTGGAAGTGCTCAGGTAACCCTATAGGATGCCGGGGATCGAACCCGGGTTGGCTGTGTGCAAGGCAAACGCCCTCTCCACTGTGCCATCCCTCTGGTCCCTGCTCCAATTTTTTTGTTTGTTTCTGGACCACTCCTGGCAGTGTTCGGGGTTTACTCTTGGCTCTGCACTAGATGGGTCCTGGCGGAGCTCTGGGATCCTATGAAAAAGCTTTTTTGGGAAAAAAAAAGTGAAACTGAGATGAAGAGATCGGGTTCGATCCACAGCACCCTGTGGGGTCCCTCCCCCCACGCCCCCAAGCACCGCCGGGGAGGGTTGCTGAATGCAGGGCCAGGGGTAAGCCCTGCACATCGCTGAGAGGGGCCCAACAACAAACATTTTAAAAGTAAAACCAATGGGGCTGGAGCGATAGCACAGTGGGGAGGGCGTTTGCCTTGCACAAGGCTGACACGGGTTCGATCCCCGGCATCCCATAGGGTCTCCTGAGCACCGCCAGGAGTAATTCCTGAGTGCAGAGCCAGGAGGAACCCCTGTGCATCGCCGGGTATGACCCAAAAAGAAAAAAAAAACTATTCCTGCCTCTGTGCTCAGGGGTTTCAACCTGAGCAAACCATGCATATGCTCCACTCCGGGGGGGACCCGGGTTCAATCCTCGGCATCCCATAGGGCCTCCTGAGCTCTGCCCGGAGTGATCCCTGAGCTCAGAGCCAGGAGTCCGCCCTTTGCTGCGAAATCACACCGGGGCAAAGCAAACACTACATCTCCTGTATTTCTCTCCAGCTTGAACCGTTTCAATTTGCTGAGGGGGGCAGGTTGCTTTGCTTGGGGAACCACCCAGGCTGTGCTCAGGTCTGACTCCTGGCTCTGTGCTCCGGGATCCCTCCTGATGGTGCTCTGGGGACCCTTTGGGATGCCGGCGATGGAACCCAGATCAGCTGCGTGCAAGGCAGCGCCCCTCCCCGCCGCTGTCCTAATGGTCCAGCGCCTGAGACCATCCCAATGTGTGTGTGTGTGTGTGTGTGTGTGTGTGTGTGTGTGTGTATCTGTTTCTGTCCTCAGTGGATTGAGGGACAGAGAGACACCAACGGCCACATCACACACATACACACACACACACAGTCCTCAGTGGATTGAAAGACACCAACGGCCACATCTCACACACACACACACACAGACACACAGTCCTCAGTGGATTGAAAGACACCAACGGCCACATCACACACACACACACACACTGTCCTCAGTGGATTGAAAGACACCAACGGCCACATCTCTCTCTCACACACACACACACACACACATACACACACACTGTCCTCAGTGGATTGAAAGACACCAACGGCCACATCACACACACACACACACATACACACACACTGTCCTCAGTGGATTGAGAGACACCAACGGCCACATCACACACACACACACACACACACACACACACTGTCCTCAGTGGATTGAGAGACACCAACGGCCACATCACACACACACACACTGTCCTCAGTGGATTGAGAGACACCAATAGGCCACATCACACACACACACACACACACACACACACACCTGTCCTCAGTGAATTGAAAGACACCAACGGCCACATCACACACACACACACTGTCCTCAGTGGATTGAGAGACACCAACGGCCACATCACACACACACACACTGTCCTCAGTGGATTGAGAGACACCAATAGGCCACATCACACACACACACACACACACACACACACACACACACACTGTCCTCAGTGAATTGAAAGACACCAATAGGCCACATCACACACACACACACACACACACACACACTGTCCTCAGTGAATTGAAAGACACCAACGGCCACATCTCACACACACACACACACACACACACACACACACGCACACGCACACGCAGGCACGCCCTTCCCCTCTGATTGGCTGGCTTACCTCCCGCCCCCACCACAAGAGGCTCTCCTTGGACTGGGAGCTCCAGTTCTGCGGCTGAGCTGTGCAGCCCGCGGTCTCGGCCGTCAGAGAGTACGAATAAGTCAGCAACCCGTAGACTTCCTTGATCACGTACTCGGCCTCGACGACCTCCTGAAACTCCTGTCCCTGCCACCTGGGACAGAGGCACCACCGGGGCGGGGGGTGGGGTGGGGGGTGGGAGCAAGGGCGTTGTTTTGTTTGGGGGTCACACCCCTGCGGTACTCAGGGATCCCTCCTGGCTGGCCGGGCTCGGAGGACCCAGGTTGTGGGGTGTCGGGGATCAAACCCGGGTTGGCCACATGCCAGGCAAACTCCTAATTTACTGCCTCCAAGTCCAGCCCGAGTTGGATTTCCTTCGTTTTGGGGTGGGGGAAGCACACGTGTCGTGCTCAGGCTGTTTCTGTCTCTGTGTGCGCTCAGAAGGGACCCCAGGGGCTGGAGTGACAGCATAGTGGGGAGGGCGTTTGCCTTGCACGCGGCCGAGCCGGGTTCGATTCCCAGCAGCCCATAGGGTCCCCCGAGCACCGCCAGGAGTAACTCCTGAGTGCAGAACCAGGAGGAACCCCTGTGCATCGCTGGGTGTGACCCAAAAAGAAAAAAAAAAGAAGCGACCCCCAGGGGACCACACGTGGTGGGCGGTGATTTGATCCGATGTGTCAGCGGTGTGCAAGGCAAGCGCCTTAACCGCCGGACAAGCTCCTCACGGGCTCCAAGAGCACCGAGTCTGTGTGCACGATCCTGAGCTGGGGCCACAAAAGCGTCCCTGAGGGGTCCCTGGTGGAGCAGGAGGAGGAATCGTGAATTCTGTAAAACCTGCTCTTAAGAGCTTTGCAAATCGGGGTCTGGAGAGATGGGCCAGCGGGGAGAGTGTCTGCCTTGCACGCTGCTGAACCGGGTTCGATTCCCAGCATCCCATACGCTGCCAGGAGTAATTCCCGAGTGGATGAGCCAGGAGGAACCCCTGTGCATCGCCGGGTGTGACCAAAAAAGCAAAAACAAGCAAGCAAGAAAGCTTTGCAGATCGGGGCTGGCGCCATAGGGCAGCGTGGAGGGCAAGAGCCTTGCACACAGCCGACCCGGGTTTGATCCCCAGAACCCGGCAGTCTGAGTCCTGACAGGAGCGAGCCCAGAACGCAGAGCCAGGAGTCATCCCTGAGCACCAGGGATCACTCTTGGCGGTGCTCAGGAGACCCTCCAGGGCATCGGGGATTGAACCAGGCTTAGCTGCGTGCGGGGCGAGTGCCCTCAACTAACGTCTCGTGCGATTTCTCCCACACGGGCGCAGTGAAGTTTAAATGCAGTCCGGTGGGTGGGGGCGTGTAAGGGCGCATGTGGGAAGGAGGGGAGAAGGCCGCTGTCTCCAAGCTCAGGGGGAGCACTTGGGGAGCACCAAGAGGAGGACCCACGAGATCATTCGGGAGAGCTCTCAAGGGGAGCACTTGGGGAAAGCACTCGGGGAGCACTTGTGGGAGTACTCCACGGAGCACTCAGAGGAGCACCCACGGGATCAAAGGGGAGCACCTGGGGAAAGTACTCGGGGAGCACTTGCTCGTGGAAGTACTCCAGGAGCACTCAGAGGAATACTCACGGGATCAAAGGGGAGCACCTGGGGAAAGCACCCAGGGAGCACTCGTGGATGTACTCCAGGGAGCACTCAGAGGAGCACCCACGGGATCAAAGGGGAGCACCTGGGGAAAGTACTTGGGGAGCTCTCGTGGAAGTACTCCAGGGAGCACTCAGAGGAGCACCCATGGGATCAAAGGGGAGCACTTAAGGGGAGCACTTGGGGAAAGCACTCGGGGAGCACTCGTGGGAGTACTCCAGGGAGCACTCAGAGGAGCACCCACGGGATCAAAGGGGAGCACCTGGGGAAAGTACTTGGGGAGCACTCGCTCATGGAAGTACTCCAGGGAGCACCACAGAGAGCACCAAAGTATCATCAAGGGACTCGGAGGGTGCACTCAGGGGATCATTAAGGGGGAGCACTCAAGGAGAGCACGTAGGGAGAAGTCTTGGGAGCACTCATGGGAGTACTCCAGGGGAAACCCCACTCACCCCGTGCCCACCCTGCCACCATCAACGTCTGTTGTATCAGCTCCGGGCTGATGCAGGAGGAGTTAGTTGGGGGCTGAGGGCCTGGGTCAAGGTACCCCCGGCTGCTGGGGTCGCAGGAGACAGTGCACCCCTCATCCTCATCCACTCACAGTTGCAGAACTGGCTTCCAGGGAGTGTCGTAGTAGACCAGCAGGGGGCAGCCCAGCAGGGCGTAATTGTAGAACACCACCTGGTCCTCCCCGGACAAGTTGGGGCTGTAGATGTCCCTGCGGGGAGGCGCCGAGAGATTCGGGGGACCCCAGGGAGGTGCCGGCACCTTTCCGGCCAGCCCCACCCCAGGTCTCCAGTATGAGTCTTCAAACCGTTCTGGCCCCCCACTGGGGAAGCTGGGGGGGGGTGAGGGTGGGGGGAGGGGGTCCCTCACCGGTCCAGGACGTAGCTGTAGTTGTTCTGGAGTTCCACGGAGTCCAGGATCCCCTTGTTGCAGGATGTGGTGTCCCTGCGGCCGGGGACCGTCAGGCGCCAGCAGCCCCGCCCCAAAATCCCAGATGCTCTGCGGGCTCAGTGGCCACCCTCGGCAGTGCCCAGGGCCCACTCTGTCCTTGCGCCCGCCCAGGGGTCAGGGAGGGGCCCGGGGCTGCTGCTCGCAGGGACTCCAGCCCCACCCCATCCCCGCCCCTCCGGCCCCTCCCACCCCTCTCCCCACCCCTCCCTCCCTCTACCTCTCCCTTCCCTCCTTCCCTCCTTCCTGCCCTCCCTCCCCTCCTTCCTTCCCTCCCTCCCTCTCCTGCTTCCTTCCTCCCTCCCTTTCTCTCTCCCTCCCTCCCATTCTCCCTCCTACCTTTCCTTTCTTCCTCCCTTCTTTCACTCCTTCCTTCTTTTTCTTTCTCTCTCTCTCTTCCTTCCATCCTTCCTTCCTTTTATCCTTCCTTCCTCTCTCTTCCTTTCTCTCTTTCTTTCTCTCTTTCCTTCTTCCTTTCCCTCCCTCCCTCCCTCCCACCCTCCCTCCCTCCCCTTCCTTCCTTCCTTCCTTCCTTCCTTCCTTCCTTCCTTCCTACTTTCTTTCCCCCTTCCTCCCTGTTCCTTCCTTGGGGGGCTCTTGCCAGCTCCCTGGGGTTGCTCGTAGCAGTTCCCCGGAGGGACCATGTGTCACAGAGCCCAAACCCAGAGCCCCACGCGTGCCAGATGCCTCCGGGTCCCCGCCAGCCCTCCTGCCCTGGCTCCTCCCGTCCTCTCTCCCTCCCTCCTCCGCTGGGAGCCTGGTGTGGGGGACTCTCAGGCTGTGGTTTCCTCGGGCCACCGACACTCCCCCAGACTTTCAGCAAGAGATTAAATCCCACAGCGGCCCGAGCCCTAACCCAGGGGGAGGGTGTTTGCCTCGTAAATGGCTGACCCGGGTTCCATCCCACAGGGCGCGGAGCACCGCCAGGAGTGACCCCCAACTGTGGACCCAGGAGGAAGCCCCGAGCATCTCCAGGTGACCCCCTCCAGAAGTTCTGGGGTTGGAGAGGGCTCTCGGGGTGAGGGGTCTGCCCCACTGGTCCAAGCCCCCCTCTCTGCCACCCCAACACAGGGCCACTTCCTGGCTGGCCAGTCACTCAACTGTGACCTCTGACACCTGTCATTCCAACCCCTCCTTTTTTCTTTCTTTTTGTGGGTCACACCTGGCGATGCTCAGGGGTTACTCCTGGCTCATGCACTCAGGAATTACCCCTGGTGGTACTCGGGGACCATACGGGATGCCGGGAATCAAACCCGGGTCGGCCACGTGCAAGAAAAACGCCCTACCCGCTATACTATTATCCAGCCCTCTAACCCCTTTTTAGTTTGTTTTTGGGCCACGCCAGGGTGGAGGGTGTCCTGTTAACCCCCGAACAGTGTTTCAGAAGACAGAAGGGGGCCTGGGGGGGTGTCCCCCCCGTGCCCGTGCCCCCCTGGCCGCTCCGTGGTCTCTCTGCTCACTTTTGAATGACGACCTTTTTCTCAGCATCGCAACCGATGTTGATGAGGGCGGTCTGCGGAGGGGACAGAGTGGGAGGGTGAAATCCACATCGGGGACAGGGGTGGGGCGATAGGACAGCGGGGAGGGAGGGTGTCTACCATGCACGTGCCCACACGGGTTCAATCCCCAGCATTCCCTAGGGTCCCCTGAGTACCACCAGGAGTGATTCCTGAGTGCAGAGCCAGGAGGAACCCCTGAGCATCGCTGGGTGTGTCCCAAACCAAAACAATAACAACAACAATAATAATAATAGTAATCACTGACCTCCCATTTTTGTTCATCGATTTGCTCGAGTGGGCCCAGTAATGCCACCATTGTGAGACTTGTTACTGTGTCTGGCATATCGAATATATCACGGGTAGCTGGCCAGGCTTTGCCACGTGGGCAAGATGTTCTCGGTAGCTTGCCGGGCTCTCCGAGAGGGGTGGAGGAATCGAACCCAGGTCGGCGGCATGCAAGGCAAATGCCCTACCGCTGTGCTATCACTCCAGCCCAATAATAATAATAATAATAATAGGTCACAGTCCTCCTGTTGTTCATCGATTTGCTCGAGCGAGCCCAGTAACGTCTCCATTGGAGACTTTGTTCTTACTGTGTCTGGCATATCGAATACATCATGGGTAGCTTGCCAGGCTTTGCTGTGAGGGCGAGATACTCTCGGTAGCTTGCCGGGCTCTCTGAGAGGGGCAGAGGAATCGAACTTGGGTCGGCCATGTTGGATGCGTGCAAGGCAAACGCCCTACAGCTGTGCTATAATAATAATAATGATAATAATAATAATAATAATGTTTTAGAGGCCAGCCGGGCATTCTAGGGGAAAGGGCAGCTCAGATAGAGAAGGGAGCACCAAGTAAAGGGTGTTGGGAGGATCCTCCCAGGATGGGAGATGCATGTTGAAAGGAGACTATGTACCGAACATGATTGCCACTCAATGCCTCTTTTGCAGACCACAACACCCAATAAGAGAGAGAGAACAAAAGGGAATGCCCTGCCACAGAGGCAGGGTGGGATGGGGGGGTTGGGGGTGGGAGGGATACTGGGACCCATGGTGGCGGAAAATGGGCACTGGTGGAGGGATGGGTGTTTGATCATTGTATAATCGAAACCCAAGCACAAAAATTTGTAAATCTACAACTGTACCTCATGGTGTTTCACTAATAAATAATAATAATAATAATAATAATAATAATGTTATACACCACACAGCGTGGGCTGGAGTGACAGCACAGTGGCTAGGGTGTTTTCCTTGTACATGGCCGACCCAGGTTCGATTCCTCCATCCCTCTCGGAGAGTCTGGCAAGCTACCAAGGATACCTCGCCCGCCCGCACGGCAGAGCCTAGCAAGCTCCCCGTGGTGTATCCAATATGCCAAAAACAGTAACAACAAGTCTCACAATGGAGACATCCCTGGTGCCCGTTCGAGCAAACTGATGAACAACAGGACAGAGCTACAGTGCTACAACACAGGGCGGGAGAATGAATGAATGGCCAGGCTGTGAGGAAGAGCAGGAAACAGAGATTCGGTAGCTTTTGTGGGTTTCTGGGCCACACCCGGCAGTGCTCAGGACTTACTCCTGGTGGGTTGGGAGGACCCCATGGGATGTCGGGGGTCAGATCCAGGTCAGCCTCATGCAAGGCCGGTGCTCCCCGTGGGGTGCTGTGGCGCTGGCCCATCTCCCCTTGCTGAGGTGCTGGGGATTTCCCGCCTCTCGTGTGCCCATCTTGTCGATGGATGTCTGGGCCACCTGCCCTTCGGGGCCACTAGTGGCTACTCGGGAGCCCTGGAGAGAGACTAAGGAAGGAGGATTCAAGTTCCCCGGGCCAGGAGCCCTGAGGGCCACCCCGGGGGCAGTGTCTGTTTCCTGACCCAAATGGAATCTGAGGGGCCGGAGCCATAGCACAGCAGGGAGGGCATTTGCCTTGCACGCGGCGGACCCGGGTTCGATCCCCAGCATCCCATAGGGTCCCCCGAGCACCGTCAGGAGTCATTCCTGAGGGCAGAGCCAGGAGTAAACCCTGTGCATCACTGGATGAGACCCAAAAAAAGCAAAAAAAAAAAAAAGACCAACATCTGTGCCTTCCTGCTGGCACCAGGAGACAACGGGGCAGCGGAAGTTGGGGACCTACCAGAGGCGGAATGTTCACACACGAAAGTTCCTTGTTGGCGATGTCCAGGGTGACGGTGGAGGCGGTCTCCCTCTTTATCCTGCACCACAGTAAGGCAGGGGTGGGCAACAGACCCAGGGCGGGGCTGGAGAGTGCTGCCAGGTACCCTTCCACCCCGTCCGTCCGTCCATCTTCCCATCAGCCACCCACCCACCCAGCCAGCCACCCATTCACCATCCACTCACCCACCCTGCCACTCATCCATCTATCCATCCATCCATTCATCCATCCACCCATCTATCCATCCATCCACCCATCCATCCACCCATTCATCCATCCATCCATCCCCCATCCATCCACCCATCCATCCATCCACCCATCCATCCATCCACCCATCCACCCACCCGTCCATCCATCCACCCACCCATCCATCCATTCATCCACCCATCCATCCACCCATCCACCCATCCACCCACCCATCCATCCATCCACCCATCCATCCATCCATCCATCCATCCACCCATCCGTCCACCCATTCATCCACCCATCCATCCATCCACCCACCCATCCATCCATCCACCCATCCATCCACCCACCCATCCATCCACCCACCCATCCATCCATCCACCCACCCACCCACCCGTCCATCCACCCACCCATCCTTCCATCCACCATCCTATAATCCACCCATCCATCCACCCACCCACCCATACATCCACTCATCCATCCATTCATCCATCCATCCATCCATCCACCCACCCACCCACCCACCCATCCATCCACCCACCCACCCACCCGTCCATCCACCCACCCATCCTTCCATCCACCATCCTATAATCCACCCATCCATCCACCCATCCACCCACCCGTCCATCCATCCACCCACCCATCCATCCATCCATCCATCCATCCATCCACCCACCCATCCATCCATCCACCCATCCACCCACCCGTCCATCCATCCATCCATCCATCCATCCATCCACTCATCCATCCATCCATCCACCCACCCATCCACCCACTCATCCATCCATCCATCATCCATCCACTCATCCATCCATCCATTCATCCATCCATCCATCCACCCACCCACCCACCCATCCATCCACCCACTCATCCATCCACCCACCCATCCGTCCATCCATCATCCTATAATCCATCAATCCATCCATCCACCCATCCACCCATCCATCCATCCACCCACCCACCCACCCACCCACCCATCCACTCATCCATCCACCCACCCACCCATCCGTCCATCCACCATCCTATAATCCATCAATCCATCCATCCAGCCAGCCATCCATCCACCCACTCACCCACCCATCCACCCATCCACCCATCCATCCATCCATCCATCCACCCACCCACCCATCCACCCACTCACCATCCATCCGCCCACCCACCCACCCATCCTATACCATTCAGAGCCTTGACCAGGAACCTAATTCTCACTTGGCCCCTGAGACCTTCCCTGAGACTTCACCCCTTCTCTTATGATGGTTTTGTTAACTTCACCATCTTTTTTTTTCAAAGAGAACCAAAGATAAGATTTATTTTTAGTGTTTAAATTTGGTCAGATCCTTTCCGTCAATTAATTCATTATTTAAAATTTTATTTTTCGTAATGTCGTTCAAAATAACTGATTACATTGAATATGTCCGCACCCACTCCACCCCCATCACACCCTCCCACCACCCCTCAAGCCTGCCCCGCTGGCAAATGCTAGATAATTTATCTTGTATTGCTTGTTATGAATAAGAGCATTTCGTGGCCGCTTGCTCCTGGAATTCTAAAATTTTAAACCATTGGGGTCCAGAGACATCTCTGCAGCGAGCTGCTCCATTCTAAGATTCATTTGTGAGGCTCTGGATCATGGCCCTAAATGAGCTTAAAATGGCACCCGGGGGCAGCTTGTGGGCATGAGAGCCAGGACGCCCGAAGGGGCAGGGAGATGGGATGGGGTGGTCCCTCCCCATCCCCTGAGGCCTGGCGTTTGCAGCCACCGGTCCTGCACACCTGGGCTTCCCGTTGGGTTCTGGAGGTTTGCGGCCGCCGGGCTTGCCATCATGTTTGTTTTGTTCTGTTTTTGGACCACACCTGCCCATGCTCAGGACTGACTCCTGACTCTGTGCTCCGGGGTCACTTTGCAGGGCTCGGGGGACTCTAGGGGGATCGGGGACTGAACCTGAAGCAGCCGCAGTGCACCGTGGGCTCTGGCTCCGTACCCTGCTTCCAACCCCAACTGGAAGGACCACCCGACACCCATCCTGTTAGGGCCCCGGCCCCTGGGTGGCAGCGACTTACCAGGAGGTGAAGTTGGGGTCCGCCCTGCCCGAGTGTTGCTGCTGTTTGAGGGAGATGTGCTGTGGGCCAGAGACAGCGGCATCACGCGGCGCCCCACGGAGACCAGTGCCCACGCGCGCGGCCGCCCAGGCGCTCACTCCACTGGGCCACCGGGGGACGCGGGGGCAGAGTACAGCTTTGCACACCCCGGGACCACTGCAGGGGACCCCAGAAACACCAGAGCAAGCCCTGAGCACCAGAGAGCACTGTGTGTGGCCCAAACACACACAGAGACATACAGACACAGAGACACACAGACATACAGACACACAGACACGCACAGACACAGAGAAACACACAGACACAGAGACACACAGACACACAGACACATACAGAAACACACAGACACACACAGACACATAGACACACACAGACACATACAGACACAGACACAGACACATACAAAGACACATAGACACATACAGACACAGAGACACAGAGACACAAACACACAGACACACACAGACACAGAGAAACACAGAGACACACAGACACACACAGACACATAGAGAATCACACAGACACACAGACACACACAGACACATACAGACACAGAGGGACACAGACACAGAGCCACACAGACACACAGAAACATACAGACACACACAGATACGCAGACACACAGACACACACAGACACACAGAGACACACAGGCACACAAAGACGCACAGGTATACGAAGACACAGTAACACACAGACACACACAGATACACGGAAACAGACAGATACACAGACACACAGATACACGGACACAGAAACACACACACACACACACACACCGACACACACACCCCGACACACAGACACAGATAGATTGAAGGAATCCTGAGTCAAGTTCAGACTCACCCCTTCGGAGAGAGCACTGCAGGAAGGCATTTGCCCTGCATGTGGCCGACTCAAGTTTGAGTCCAGCTGTGCACAGGGTCCCTCATGGCCCACCAGGAGTGACCCCAGAGCAGAGCCAAGAGTCGGTGAACACCCCCGGGGCAAATCCAACCCCCCCAAAAAACCCACGCTAACTCCAACTCAGGACCAACTATTGTCCAGCAGATAACGCGCTGGCTTGGTAGGCGACAGCCCTGGTTCCATTACTGGTGCCACGCAGGGTCCCTCGAGTACCACAGAAGCGAGCCCTGAGCACAGAACCGGGAGTGAGCACTGAGCACAGAGCCGGGAGTCAGCCCTGAGCACAGAGCCAGGAGTGAGCCCCGAGCACAGAGCCGGGAGTCAGCCCTGAGCACAGAGCCAGGAGTGAGCCCCGAGCACAGAGCCAGCAACAAGCCCTCGGCATAGAGCCAGGAACAAGCCCTGAGCACAGAGCCAGGAGTCATCCCAGAGCACAGAGCCAGGAGTGTTCCAAACACCAGCCTCCCAAACTTCAGACCCCACGACGTGGATCCAGACGGACCCTCCAGACTCTTCTTCGGCCAAGCTCTGTCCCCACAGCCCCCACCCCAGTTCACCTCTCGTCTCCTGCCTTGGTTTACCCCGTGAGCACACTCCTGCCCTCCCTGGCCCCAGGTGACCGGAACTTTCCAGTGGGAGAGCTTGGCAGGGGCGGGAACGAGGTCCTCACTCGTCTGTGTGGTTGCTGCCTGCTGGGGTTGGGGGTCAGAGGTCGGGGTGGAGGATCCCCTTCCGGTTTCTTGGCGCCCCAGCCAGGGGCGCGGTGCGGGGGAGGGGGGAGGAACTCACCAGCCTGAACTTGGTGCTCTGGTCCAGGAAGTAACTGTCCTCGTACATCTTGGTCTCCAGCCCCAGGGAGTGGGGGTTGCTCACCAACACCTGGGGGTGGGGTCAGAGGTCAGGAGCAGGCCTGTGGACACGACTCTGCAGAGTCAGGGGACAGCAGGCTGGGGGGGGGGGGCGGCAGCGTCCAGTCTGATGCCCATGGACATCGGCCCCCCAGCTCTGGCCGCAGTGCCCCATCCAAGCACGGCAAGACCCGGAGGGCTGGAGGGGACGGGGGAGGCAGGGTCATCAGAGGGGTGAGGGTCACTGGGGACCCCAGGGCAGACCGGACACCCCCCACCCTTCTGCTAATCGGATCCCCCCACACCCAGCCCCCTTTTTCTTTTCTTCTTTTATCTGAGATGGGGGGGGAGTTGGGCCTTGATCCTTGGAACTCAGGGGCTGTTCCTGGCTCTGTGCGCAAGAGCGTCCCCTGGTGGCGCTTAGGTGCTGCGACTCCTGGCCCCAGTGCTCGGGAGTGCCCCCTGGTGGCGCTCAGGGGCTATTGTTCCTGGCTCTGCTCTCAGGACCGCCCTCTGGTGGCGGTGGCGCGCAGATGCTCCTAGTCCTGGTTCGGTGCTCGGGAGCGCCCCCTCCAGGTGGTACTCGAGAGCGCCCTTGGACGGTTCTGGAGGGACCCTCTGGTGCTGAGGGTTAACCAGGGTTGGCACCTGAGCGGCCGCACTGAGACAAGTGCCATCCCCCCTGCGCTATCTCTCCAAGAGGCCTCCCCACTGCTTTTTTTTTTTGCTTTTTTTTGGGGTCACACCCGGCAATGCACAGGGGTCACTCCTGGCTCGTGCACTCAGGAATCACCCCTGGCGGTGCTCAGGGGATCCTATGGGATGCTGGGAATCGAATCCGGGTCGGCCACGTGCAAGGCAAACGCCCTATCCGCTGTGCTATTGCTCCAGTTCCGAACACCTTCTCTTTAATTTGACAGGCTTTTAGGGCACACCCAGCAGAGCAGGCGGGGGTGGGGTGTTACTCCTGGCTTGCTGTTTTTTTGGGGGGGCGGTCCATGCAACGTTTGCCGGAGCTCCCACGGGCAAAGCACGCGCTTCAGCCTTTTGAACCATCTCCCCCCAACTCCCCTGTCTCCTCTCCCCCACAGTGCTCAAACCAGGAGCTCATGCTTGCCAGGCAAGTGCTCTGGCACGGGGCCCCTAGGTCACCCCACACTCTCTCAGGCCCCTGGGGCTGCAGGGACCAGAGAGCCAGCACAGGACGGGAGGGGCTGACCTTTTGCACAGCCAATCCGGATTTGATCCCAAGCACCAGGAGTGCCACTGGGAGTGATCCCTGCGCACAGAGCCAGGGCGGAGGCCCGGAGCATCGCCAGGGGCGACCCAAAACCCAGAGAGAAAGACAGCAGCGGCCCTGGTCCTGCAGACGGAAGCCTTACCAGTGGCATGGGGGATGCCAGCGGCCGTGGGACAATTGTGGCTGTCAGCTCCAGCTTGCTGTTCATGTCGATGGTGTACATCCGGTTCTCAAACTCGCCTTCCAGGAACTCCACCTGCTCAAAAGGGTGTGCCCCTCACCCCCATTTTTATTTAATTTTTATTTTTTTGGGCTTTTTTGGGTCACACCCGGCGATGCGCAGGGGTTACTCCTGGCTCTGCACTCAGGAGTTACTCCTGGTGGTGCTCAGGGGACCATATGGGATGCTGGGAATAGAACCCGGGTCAGCCGCGTGCAAGGCAAACGCCCTACCCTACCCGCTGTGCTATCGCTCCAGCCCCACATCCCCATTTTTAAAATGACAAAGAAAGGGGCTGGAGCGATAGCACAGCGGGTAGGGCGTTTGCCTTGCACGCGGCCGACCCGGGTTTGATTTCCAGCATCCCACAGGGTCCCCCGAGCACCGCCAGGAGTGATTCCTGAGTGCAGAGCCAGCAGGAACCCCTGTGCATCGCCGGGTTTGACCCAAAAGGAAAAGAGAAAAGAAAAGAAAAAAATGACAAAGAAAATAAAAACCTTTTGGACCAAGAAATAGGACAGCAGGAGGGGCGCTGTCCACCCGGGTTTGATCCCTGGTATCCCATAACCCCCTCCCCCCCCAGCACCGCCAGTAGCTAGCCCTGAGTGCAGAGCCAAGAGCAATTCAATGTCAAGTGTGTACCCTCCAAAACAAGAGTTTGTTGAGGGTTCAAGAGGCACTTAAAGGTCTGAAGCAAGTGCTCGGCTGTGCATGGGAGAACTCCAGCTTTTTTTTTTCTTTCTTTCTTTTGGTTTTGAGGCCACACCTGCCGATGCTCAGGGCTGACTCCTGGCTCTGCACTCAGGGGTCACTCCTGGCGGTGCGCAGAGGACCCTATGGAAGGCTGGGATCGAACCTGGGCCTTCCAGCTGTCCCATTGTTCCGGTTTGAGTCCATTCACCATGGAATTCTGCAAGCTACAGATCTACCCACCCTTCTGCCCCCCCCCCCATATTTGGGGGAGCCTGGGACACTGAGGTGACAGGAGCGACCACATACTTTGCAGGGACCAATTCTGTAGTGGGGGTCCATGAGGAGCGTTTTCATGTTGATGAGCATCTTCTCGTAATTGAAGATGAAGAGGATCCTATTGTAATTGAAGATGAAGATTTTCCTATCTTGAATTGGCGTCAGGATCTCGAGCTTTCCCAAGCCCGAGAATGTCAAGACAGACATAGGGGAAAAAGAGTCTTGGTCTGGCAACTAAAAAGAAAAGAGAAAAATAGGGACTGGAGAGAGAGTGAGGGGAAGTCCGGGGGATGCACACGAAGCCTGGGTTCGATTCCTCTGAGCCCTGCGCCAAAGAACCAAAGTTTGAGTGTGAGATAACTTTTTCCTGGGGACCGGAGAGATAGTCCAGCGGGGAGGGCACTCGCCTTGCATGTGGCTGGCCTGGGGTCACTTTCCCGGAACCCCACAGGGTCTCCGATGCCGCACTAGGAATGATCCCTGAGCACAGAACCAGGAGGAAGCCCTGAGCACCGCGGGGTATGACCCAAAACAAACAAACAAAAACAAAACCCCTCTCACCCCAACCAACCTGGTCACTTAATCACTTAACTTCCCGTTAGTCATCGATTTGCTCGAGCGGGCGCCAGTAACGTCTCCATTTGTCCCTGTCGCGTGCTAGTGTAGCCCAATGGCATCTGTTCGCTCCGGGAACATGAAGAGCCTCAAACCGATCGTTCATGATCTTGACGAAGAAGTCTGACCATCTGGTAGGTGGGCGGCCACGCGGTCTTTTGACATCCCGTGGAATCCAGTCAGTAACAGCTCTAGTCCAGTGGTCATCTTTAAATCTCATTACGTGACCAGCCCATCTGATTTTCGACACCTTGGCAAATGAGACAGCGTCCCTGATCCTTGATCGTCGATGGATGTCAGAACTCCGGATTCGTTCTCTCATTTGAGTGAAACGTGATATTCCAAGCATAGCTCTTTCTATTCTTCTTTGGGAGACCTGAATAGCGTTCTCATCTTGTTTGCGTAGGGCCCAGGTCTCTGAGGCATATGTTAATGCAGGAAGAACAGTGGAATCAAAGAGATGTGCCTGGAGCCGGAGGTTCTTCGTCCTCTTAGCTATTTCTTCGACGTTCTTGAAGGCGTTCCAAGCCACTCTCTTCCTCCTGCGCAGCTCGGGTGCCAGGTCATTTGTCATGTTGACTTCTCGACCTAGGTACACATAGCTGTTGCATTCGGAGATGGTCGTTCCGTTGACAGCGAATGGGGCATCAGGAACGAGGCTGTTCTCATAAACATTGTCTTCGTAAGATTCAGCTGTAGTCCTACCTTTCCACACTCACGGTCAAAGTCAGCCAGCATTTGTGCTGCTTGGCTGATGTTTGGTGTTATTAAAACAAAGTCATCAGCAAAGCGGAGGTGGTGTAATTGCCGACCATCTATCTTCACTCCCATTCCTTCCCATTCCAGTCATCGCATGATGTTCTCGAGGGTGGCAATGAAGAGTTTTGGTGAAATGGTATCACCCTGCTGCACCCCTCTCTTGACATCAACGATCACTTCTTTGTAGAATGGTGAGATCCTGGTAGTGAATCCGCAATACAGCTCACGGAGGATCCTGATATATTGGGCTTGAATGCCCTGATTGGCTAGGGCTTCAATGACCGCTTCCGTCTCAACAGAATCAAAGGCCTTCTTTAAATCAATGAACGTTAAGCAGAGCGGCATCTTGAACTCCCGAGAAACCTCAATGAGCTTGGTTATCGTGTGGATATGGTCGATGGTGCTGAGTCCTTTGAGGAACCCAGCTTGCTCGCATGGTTGTCCTTCATCTAGTGTTCTGCCAATCCTATTTAGGATGACTCGAGTGAACAACTTGTAGATGACAGACAATAGGCAGATCGGGCGATAGTTGCCAATGTCATGAATGTCTCCCTTCTTGAACAGTAGTACGGTCCTGCTGGTTTTCCATTGGGACGGAACCTTGCATTCAGACAGGTAGCAAGTGAAGAATCGAGCCAGTGTATTGATGAGTACTGACGGCAGGTTCTTCAGGTGTTCAGGTCTGACCTTGTCTGGGCCGGGTGCTGTTTGTTTCTTTACCGACGAAATGGCGTGTCGGATTTCGGAAGGGAGAACGTTGGGAACGACATATCCATCTTGTGGAATTTGGTATGTCGGCAAGTGGACATGGCTATTGAAGAGATTTGAGTAGAAGTCATGGATAATCTTCTCCATTGCCATTCTGAAGGATGTGATGGATCCATCAGGACGTCGGAGGGCAGTCATCTTGGTCTTGTAGTTGGCAAAGGACAGGCGGGCGTTACGAATACTTTTCCCGGCTTCTGCCGCATCTACCAGTACTTCTGCTCTTCTCTCTTTGAGGTCTTCCTTGATCGCATCTCTGCACTGCTTTGCAAGCTTGGACGTTAGCTTGTGGTTGCCTGAGGCATGCACCAAACCACGCTGACCAATTAGCTCAAGAGTTTTCGAAGATAGGCGATTTTTTGTGGCTATTTCTCTCTTGGCGTTCCTCGCACATTCATGGAGGTGCTGAACCAGTCGATCGTATTCCTCGTCAATGTTGTCAACAATGGCATCTTCCCATGTTGCCGCAATAGTACCAAAGAGTTCCCAGTTGGTGGTCATTCTGGGAGTTCTCTTTTTCAACTTTGCAGCCCTTTCTCCCCGCTCTGTGAAGTAGAATTTTGCACGAAGGAGACGGTGGTCCGATCCCGTTTGAAATTTTGGGACAACAGCGACATCAGTCAGGCAAAACCGTTGATTGAATATGATGTGGTCTATTTCGTTGTGGAATCGTCCACCGGGAGACTCCCATGTCCATCGTTTAGATTCTGCCTTCTGGAACTGTGATTTACCATGAATGGTCTTGTTCGACATGATGAACTCAGACAGTCTCTCACCCTGTTCGTTCCATTCTAGGCCATGGGTCCCGATGTGAAGTTCTTCAACTGATCTTCTCAGTCCTATCTTGGCATTAAAATCACCCACAATGATCTTGTAGAAGGTGTGGTCTTCTTTATAAAACTTCTCTAGCTCCATGTAGAACTTCTCGATTTCTCTTTCATCATAATGAGATGTTGGTGCGCATCTTCCGGAATTGTCGTACGGTATTTGATAGGGTTCAAATATGGTAACACCTACAAGGGTGATTAGAGGTCGCCCCAAAAGCCTCTATCCCTCTCGGAAAGACTGGCAAGCTACCGAGAGTATTCCGCCCGCACGGAAGAGCCTGGCAAGCTATCCGTTGTGTATTCGATATTCGATAACCAACCTGGTAATGACACAGTTTTGCTTGTGACCTACTTTCATTAGCGTCGTTGACAGGATTCCTTGGAAACCGTAATACAAGTCATTCTGCTTAGTTAAAATCGCCATTTCATTTTGATCTAGGGACAAGAGAACACATAAAACACTTCAATGAGGGTAATTTCACTGGATAGAAATATTTAAAATTGTCCAGGCTGGAACGGTAGGACTAGCAGATCGAGCACTTGCCTTGCAGACTTGAATTCAATCCCCGGTATCCTATCGGGTCCCCTGAATATCGCTAGGACTGATTCCTGAGCACAGATCCAGGAGTAACTTCTAAGCACCACTGGGTGTGACTCCCAAACAAGTACTGTCTGTAGGACTGTCGTTCTGTTGTCCATTCATCAATTTGCTCTAGTGGGCACCAGTAACGTCTCCATTGTGAGACTTGTTACTATGTTTTTTTTTTTCTTTTCAGGTCACACCTGGCGATGCACAGGGGTCACTCCTAGCTCTGCACTCAGGAATTGCTCCTGGTGGTGCTAGGGGGACCATGTGGGATGCTGGGAATTGAACCCGGGTCGGCCGCGTGCCAGGCAGATGCCCTCCCCGCTGTGCTATTGCTCCAGTCCCCACCATTTTGTTTTTATATATTTAAAAGTTTCATAAGGGGGCTGGAGCAATAGCACAGCGGGTAGGGCGTTTGCCTTGCATGCAGCCAACATGGCCGACACAGGTTCGATTCCCAGCATCCCATATGGTCCCCCGAGCACCACCAGGAACAATTCCTGAGTGCATGACCCAGGAGTAACCCCTGAGCATCGCCGGGTGTGACCCAAAAAAAAGCAAAAAAAAAAAAGTAAAAAAGAAATAATAAAAGTTTCACAGGGTGCCCGGGTTCCATCATTGGCTTTCTAAGGTCCCTTGAACTTCACTGAGAATGACCCCTGAACACAGAGTAGAGAGAAACGCCTGAGCACTGCTGGTGTGAGTCCCTCAAGTCAGAGAAATAGGGAACAGAGACAGAAGGAGAGGCGTTTACCTTGCATGTCACCAAGCTGGGCTCAATCTCTAACACCCCATAGAGTCCCTCGATACTGCCAGGAGTGATCCCTGAGCACCGAGCCTGGAATGAGATCTGAGAACCCTGGGTTGTGGCTCAAAAATTTAAATAAGGGGCTGGAGTGATAGCACAGTGGATAGGGCATTTGCCTTGCACGCGACCCGACCCGGGTTCGATCCCCAGCATCCCATATGGTTCCCTGAGCACGGCCAGGAGTAGTTCCTGAGTGCATGAACCAGGAGTAACCCCTGCGCATCACTGGGTGTGACCCAAAAAGCAAAAAAAAAAAAATTAAATTAAAAAAAGAAGAACAATGATAATAACAAAAATCAAATAAAGGTTAAAGTAAAAAATTAAAATTAAAATTCCACCACTGTGTTTGGAGAGTGACTATCAGATTCCCTGGGAACTGTCTTGGAGCCCAACCAAACTTTTTTTATTTATTTATTATTTATTTATTGCTCTTTGAGTCACACCCAGCGATGCTCAGGGGTTACTCCTGGCTCTGCACTCAGGAATGACTCCTGGAGGTGCTTGGAGGACCATATGGGATGCCAGGGATAGAACCCGGGCTGGCCGCGTGCAAGGCAAACGCCGTCCCCGCTGTGCTATCACTCCAGACCCCCCCAACCAAAATTTCAAATATATAAATCCTAAAAAGGAAAACTTCTAGAAAGTTCTCTGCCATGCTGGGGGGAGGGACTTACTAGCGGCCACGCTGTGGATAGTCATATTGAGATCAGATATGGTCTCCTTGTGGCCCTGGTAAGCGTTCTCCAAGTAGACTGGTCTCACGAGCTGACCTATAAAAGAACACAGGCATGGAACAGTATGCAGGGCCATCGGGTCCCTCCGAGGCTAAAAGACTGCAGAGAGGGGCTGGAGTGATAGCACAGCGGGGAGGGCATTTGCCTTGCATGCGTCCGACCCAGGTTTGATTCCCGGCATCCCATAGGGTCCCCCAAGCACCGCCAGGAGTTAACTCCTGAGTGCAGAGCCAGGAGGAACCCCTGAGCATTGCTGGGTGTGACCCAAAAAGAAAAAAAAAAGAATATGATCTGGCATGAGTTCTCCATAGAGATGAGTCACCCCACGAGTCCTTTCCTTGCACCGGTGAAGCATCCCTATTCAGGCTCTGTCCTGGGGTTGGGAGCAGGCTGTGATGGCGGGTGTGCCTGCAGCCTCGCTGTGCACTGCATCCTCAACCTCACTTCTTCCCAGGTGGGCTGCCTCTGGCTCTCTGCCTTACTCTGGCTGGGGGCTGGGGGCGGAGGCATCTTGCACACTGCCAGCACAGCTCTGTCTTTGGCCTCGGGGGGGATGTGGGAGAAGGCAGCCCTCCCCACATCTGAAAGTCGCCACACCAGCTTCCAGACCAGAGATGCGTTTCCTGGGTCAATGATGTGGACCCGCTGCCTTAGTAGGTCAGATGGGGGAAGGGAGGGGGCCTGAAGATAGGGAACGGTTTGCTATCACAAGCATTCAATCAGAGGAAAGAGAAAGTCAGGGCTCGGGCGCACCCCTGACCCCCGCTCTCCACCAGGAGGTGGGCTCTGAGCCTGGGCTGGGCTCACCTGTGTTTCGGGAAATAAAAAGGCTCCTTTTGGCCCAGAAGATCAGGGTGCCCTTCTGGCCCGGAGGGATGAGGATGTTAGGGGTGTCTCTGTAGTCAAAAGACTGCCCAAAGGTGCGGTTCAGGGGGTGCTCGGAGTAGCTGAACTTGGCCTGCAGGAAGGAGATGACCAGTAAGCGAATGGACGGACAGACGGGAAGATGGATCGGAAAGTGAGGAGAAGGATGGGTGGATGGACAGACAGATGGATAGTCAGATGGATGGATGGACGGATGGAGAGGTGGATGGAAGAGTTAGAAGAAGGATGGATAGTTGCTGGGGCCTGGAGCGATAGCACAGTGGGGAGGGCGTTTGCCTTGCACGCGGCTGACCCGGGTTCGATTCCCAGCATCCCATAAGGTCCCCCAAACACCGCCAGGAGTCATTCCTGAGTGCAGAGCCAGGAGAAACCCCTGAGCATCATTGGGTGTAACCCAAAAAGAAAAAAAAAAGAAGAAATAACAGGGTGGTGGGCAGATGGATGTACTAAAGAGTGATGGACGGATGACAGATGAGGAGATAAATGGTGGAATGGATGGATGGATGGATGGATGGAAGGATGGATAGGTGAACAAATGGCCAAATGGTACAGGGAAGGAGAAATGGCTTGAATGAATGGACGGATGGATGATTCAGCAGTGAGTGGCCGGTGGGTGGGTGACAGGATAAGTTACTGGGTGGATAGTAGATGGCTGAGCAAGAATATTGGTTGAGAGGGCTCAGTACTCGCAGCTCAAGGCAGAATCGACGTCGGAGTGGAGTAACAGGCACGAGTATGTGGGTGCATGGATGGATGGATCCACCATCCTCCCGTTGTTCATCGATTTGCTCGAGCGGGCCCAGTAACGTCTCCATCGTGAGACTTCTTGTTACTGTGTTTGGCATATCGAATACATCATGGGGAGCTTGCCAGGCTTTGCCGTGAGGGCGAGATACTCTCGGGAGCTTGCCGGGCTCTCCTAGAGGGGCGGAGGAATCAAACTCGGGTTGACCATGTTGGCTGCATGCAAGGCAAACGCCCTACTTAAGTATAAATGAGTACTGAGTGGGCGAGGATGGTGGAAGGTGTAAGTATGGGTGGGCGGGGGCTGGAGCAATAGGACAGTGGGTACGGTGTCTGCCTTGCAGGTGGCCAACCTAGGTTCCATCCCTGCCATCCTCTGAGCCCCGCCAAGAGCGACCCATCAGCTAGGTGTCGGCGCTGACAACCACCAGAGGTGGTCCCTTCCAAGGGAAAGAAAAAAGCTTCAGAGCGTTTGTGTGTGTGTGTGTGTGTGTGTGTGTGTGTGTGTGTGTGTGTGTGTTTTTCTTGGGATCCGACTTGGGGCCTCTCACATGAGGCACGTGGTTTTCCTTTTTTTTTTTTTTTTGCTTTTTTAGGGTCACACCCCTCAATGCACAGGGTTACCCCTGACTCTGCACTCAGAAATCGCTCCTGGCGGTGCTCGGGGGACCACATGGGATGCTGGGAATCGAACCTGGGTCAGCCGCGTGCAAAGCAAACGCTCTACCCGCTGTGCCATCGCTCCAGCCTGGGCTGGTGGTTTTCTGCCGAGTCACATCCCCACCACGGCTTTGCACAGACCACGGCCACGGGATTTCCACGGTGCGGACCGGAGAGACTTACCCTCTTGTTGTAATAGAAAAGCAACCCCACTTGGGACAGGGTGTAGAAGTTGAAGATCCCTCCCAGATATCCGTGGAACTCCTCCTAGGAGATACATGGACCAGGTCAGGACCCAGCGCCCAGCAGCGGGGTTCGATCCCCAGCCCCACCGCCAGAGGTCAGCCGTGAGCACCAAACCCCAGACCCAACAAACGCCCAACGCAGCCAGAAGGTCTGCAAGTAACGGGCCCCTGGGCGTCTCTCTCACCGGGGCACTGAACCATCCTTGGAGGCGAAAGGGGCTGAAACGAGTGTGGGGTGGGATGCTGGAGGCTGCGTGTGGCGTGCTGCACCCAAAGGTGCTGGGGGCTGACTTTTGGCCTCTTGGCTCTAAGTTCAGGGATCACTATTTTTTTTTCTTTTTTGCTTTTTGGGTCGCACCCAGCGATGCTCAGGGGTTACTCCTGGCTCATGCGCTCAGGAATGACTCCTGGCGGTGCTCGGGGGACCATATGGGATGCTGGGAATCGAACCCGGGTCGGCTGCGTGCAAGGCAAACGCCCTCCCCGCTGTGCTATTGCTCCAGCCCTCAGGGATCGCTTCTGGCAGGAACTTCGTGGGATGCCAGAGATGGAGCTGGGGTCGGCTGGGTGCAGGGAAAGCGCCCCACCCCCGCCAGCCCCGGGCTATTACTCCGGCCCTGAATTTACCTGCCTTCTGTAGCTGTAGGGTCTGAAACTGAACCCCTCGGTGGTGGAAATATAGAGTGTGGCGTCTGATACCTGTGCTCCGCGTAAGTAAGCGAACACGGTTCTACTTACAGCCTGCAAGACACGAAGGTGGTGGTGTGAGTTGGGGCCGGGGGGAGCGGAGGGTGAGCACAGGGGAGGGGCGCGTTGGCAGAGATCAGCTCCAAGGGTGCAGGCGTCCCACTGGCTGGGAAGAAAATTCCGGAAAGCAAGGGATGACTTATCAGGGGCTGGAGAAACCTACCGGCGATGTAGGTTTAAGTGTTATAAAGACGTTCCTTGGGGCTGGAGGCATTTGCCTTGCACGCGGCCGACCCGGGTTCGATTCCCAGCATCCCATATGGTCCCCTGAGCACCGCCAGGAGTAATTCCGGAGTGCAGAGCCCGGAGGAACCCCTGAGCATCTCCGGGTGTGACCCAAAAAGAAGAAAGAAAAGTTCCTTGAAGGGGCCGGAAAGATAGCACAGTGGGTAGGGTACTTGCCTTGCACGCAGCCAACCCGGGTTTGATCCCCCAAGGCACCCAGTGTGTTCCCCCAAGCATTTCTGGGAGTGATCCCTGCTTGCAGAGCCAGGAGAAGCCCCTGAGCACCACCAGGTGCGAACGTCCTCCTCCAAACAAAAACAAGCATTGGGATGAGGGGCTGGAGTGACAGTACAGAGGGGAGGGCGCTGGCCTTGCACGTGGCTGACCAGGGTTCGGTTCCCGGCACCCCACAGGGTGCCCCCGAGCCCCGCCAGGAGTGACCCCTGAGTTGCAGAATCAGGAGTGAGTTCTGAGCACTGCCAGGTGTGGCCCCCAAGCAAATCAAAACGAAATTAAAAACCTACTTTCGGGGCTGGAGCGATAGCACAGCGGGTGGGGTGTTTGCCTTGCATGCAGCCGACCCGGGTTAGATTCCCAGCATCCCATACGGTCCCCCGAGCACCGCCAGGAGCAATTCCTGAGTGCATGAGCCAGAAGTAACCCCTGTGCATCGCAGGGTGGGACCCAAAAAGAAAAAAAAAACAAAACTATTTTCTCAGGCTGGAGAGGACAGCAAGCATTGCCTTGACTGACCCCAGTGCAATCTCTGGCACCACAATCTCTGGCACCACACACAGGCCCCGGGGCACTGCCAGGCCCGTCCCCACGCACAGAGCTGGGCACGGCCCCCAAGCACCATCGGGGATGGCCCCCCTCACCCAGAGAGTCGCACACAGGGTCCTCACCAAGCAGACGGGCTGTGAGCTATAACAGCAATTGTCTCCGGAGACGTGTGACACGGGGTGTGCTATTCCTGGAAGGGCAAGGTCACGGCCACGGAGATCACTAGTCCCCTTCCTCCCTCCTCTCCCTCCCCCATCCTCCTCTCCCTCTCCCTCACGCCTCCCCTTCTCTCCTCCTATCCCCTCTCCATACCTCCCTCTCTCCTTTCTCCCTTTTTTTTTTTTTTTTGCTTTTTTTGCGGAGGGGTCACAGCTGGCAATGCTCAGGGGTTACTCCTGGCTCTGCACTCAGGAACTACTCCTGGCAGTGTTGGCCAGTGCTCAGGGGACCCTACGGGATGCTGGGAATCGAACCCGGGCCGGCTGCATGCAAGGCAAAAGCCCTCCTGACCGTGCTATCACTCCAGCCCTCCTCCTCCTCTTCCTCCTCCTCCTCCTCCTCCTCCTCCTCCTCCTCCTCCTCCTCCTCCTCTCTTTCTCCCTGAATGCGGGAAGTTCTGAGTCTGACTCTCACCACACACACACACACACACACACACACACTCACGTTCACTCACACATGCACACAGGCACAGGCACGCACGCACGCACTCGCTCACCACACATGCACACCCACCCACCCACACGCACATGTGTGCGCGCACACACACACACGCGCACACACATTCACCAACACGCACGTATGCGCGCGCGCGCGCGCGCGAACACACACACACACACACACACACACACATACACATCCCAACCACATGTCACCTTCCGGCGTGAGCCAGAAGTCAACCTTGTAATCATAAATGTAGACGTGAAAATTCACGACCAGCAACAAGATCGACCTGGTGAAGTGGGCCGCGGTGACTTCTGCTTTGTTGACCTGAAAGGAAGAACATCAGGGGACGCTGAGAACTGCCGGGTTGATCCTGGTGGCCCCCAACTCCACAGAGCCTGACAGCTCTGCATCCTTGCGCCGTACCAATGAACTACGTTTCTGGGGTGGGGGGGAGAGGAATTCCCAGGGGGTCCCCCCACTTTCTGGGCTCTCCTTGGGAGACACCCCCCCCCCCAAAGAAGCAGTTTAACATCAGGCCAGAGTGACTGGGCAATGGGGAGGGAACTGGCCTTTTTTTTCCTTAACTTTATTTATTATTTAACTTTATTTATTTACTGGTATTTGGCATATTGGGTACGCCACGGGGATTTTGCCAGACTCTGCTGTGTGGGCAGGTTACATTGGGTCTCATTCTCCTAAAGAGCCTTGAATATAGCACTTTCTTAAAAATCTCAGGGCTAGGATGAAGGAGACGTTATTGGGGCCTGCTCGAGGCAATCGACGAATAACAGGATGGTCGTGATTCGTGTCGTGATTTATTTATTTTCACTTTTGGGGCACACCTGGCGTTGCACAGGGGTTACTCCTGGTTCTGCACCCAGGGATGACCCTGGCGGTGCTCGGGGGAACCATACTGGGATGCTGGGAATTGAACCCGGGTTGGCCATGTCCAAGGCAAACGCCCTCCCCGCTGTCCTGTTGCTCCAGCCCTGAGGGAACTGGCCTTGCATGCAGCCGACCCAGGTTCAATCCCCAGCACCCCAGAGGGTCCCCCGAGCACCGCCAGGAGTAATTCCTGAGTGCAGAGCCAGGAGGAACCCCTGAGCATTGCTAGGTGTGGCCTGAAAACCAAAACCAAACAAAAAAGAAGCAAGATGAAAAACAGCCCCATAAGTGCAGGTTATAAAAGCAATTTTTTGGGGGTGGGTGCCAAGGGAGCACGGTGCAAAGGGGTTATTTCAGCTCCGTCTGCAGGGGCGACCACTGGCGACCCTCGGAAATTCCAGGATTTGAACTGGGGTCAGTGGGAAATAAGGATGTGCTTTTTTTTCTGTGTTTTTGCTTTTTGGGTCACACCTGGCAATACACAGGGCTTACTCCTGGCTCTGCACTCAGGAATTACTCCTGGCGGTGCTCGGGGGACCCTATGGGATGCTGGGAATCGAACCCAGGTTGGCCGCATGTGAGGCAAACACCTTACTCGCTGTGCTATCGCTCCAGCCCCAAGGATGTACCTTAATTCCCATGTTTCCTCTCTGACCTCTTTTCTTCTTGTTTGGTTTCTTGTTTGGGGCGACGCCCAGTGGTGCTCAGGGCTGACTCCTGGCTCTATGCTCAGGGATCACACTTGGTGGGGCTCAGGGGACCTTATGAATGCCAAGGATTGAACCCAAGGATGCCAAGGATGCCAAGGATTGATAAGTCTTAAGCACTGCCAGGTGTGGCCACATGGAAGGCCAGCGTCCTCCCCACTGTTTTATCATTCTAGTGACTTCAACACTCTTGTTGCATTTGTGTGTGTGTGTGGGGGGGGGGGTCACACCCATCAGTGCTCAGAAGTAACGCCTGCCTCTTTTTTTTTTTTTTTTTGCTTTTTGGGTCACACCCGGCAATGCACAGGGGTTATTCCTGGCTCTGCACTCAGGAGTTACTCCTGGCGGTGCTCAGGGGACCCTATGGGATGCTGGGAATCGAACTCAGGTCAGCCGCGTGCAAGGCAAACGCCCTCCCCGCTGTGCTATCGCTCCAGCCCCTGGAGTAACGCCTGCCTCTGCACTCAGCAATGACTCTTGGTGGACTCGGGGACCATTTGCGATGTGGGGTATTGGGCCAGGGTGAGCTGTACTTTCTCTCCAGCCCCAAACACTTGAGATTGTCCAGAAAATAGGTACCTTAAACGAGATAGGGATTCTCAGTGGAAACAGGCTGCTTTCAAAGTTATTTGTCGAGAAAAAGACTCTGTTTCTGGAGGAAGCAACACAGGAGTGAAATTAGGATAATCTTTCAGGGCTAGAGAGAGCTGAGTCCCTGAGGAGCGATCCCTGAGCACAGAGGCAAGAAAAGTCTTGAGCACTGCCAGGTGTGGCCCCCAAACAAACAACAGAAGAGCAGTGATTTTGTGCACCAAAGGCCTAACTGTAAATCCTCTTGTCTTTCTGGTACCATAGCGATGATAAAATAAGGAAAACAAAGAATTCAAGCAGAAAGGAAAAAAAGAGAAACTATTCTTCCTTTGTCTCAACTGAAAACACATGATAAACTTTTAAAAGTTAGCCAAGGGGGGGCTGGAGAGATAGCACAGCGGGTAGGGCGTTTGCCTTGCACGCGGCCGACTCGGGTTCAGTTCCCAGCATCCCAGAGGGTTCTCCGAGCACTGCCAGGAGTCATTCCTGAGTGCAGAGCCAGGAGTGACCCCTGTGTCACCCACATCCAATCACACGCAAAGATTTTTCCTGTGTTCAGGTGCGCCCCCTGGTGGTGTTCAGGGGTTATACTCAGCTCTGGGCTCAGCAGCTCCCCCTGTTGGTACTCAGTGGCTATTGCTGGGTCGGTGCTCAGGAGCGCCCCCTGGTGGCGTGCACAGGAGCTATTCCTGGCTCCGTGATGAGGAGAGGTCTCTGGAATTTTTCACGACTCTGTGCTCCGAAGCCAACCTTAGTGGTAATCAGGATAACCCAATATGGTGCTGGGGGGTTGGACCAGGGTTGGCTGCATGCAGGGCAAGCGTAAGCTCTGTACTCATTCCTAGCCCCATCTTCTCTGGATACCCACCCCTCCCCCAAAGTCTGGAAAACTGTAACAGGGAGACCCTAGTGATCTGTCCCCAAGACCATAAGGGTAGAGAGTCAGGAGTAGCCCTGAGCACGGCTGGGTGTGCCCCTCCATCCCCACACCCAGACACCCAGACAATGGGAAGGCAATCAGAAATGAAATGTACTTACCCTAAATACAAGACAATGTTTTCATCACATGGATGTTTAATCAAGAGTGGGGTTCCAGATGCAGAATAGAGCACGTCCTAGGAAGAGCGTCACACTGAATATGGGAATCTTAGCAAGAATCACAGACACTAAGAGAAAGTCCCTTTGTTCCAACCCTGGTTATGGATCTTAAAAACAAAAAACGACAGGGCTGGAGCGATAGAAGATCACAGAGGGCACTGGCCTTGCCTGCCACCGAGCCTGGTTTGATCCCCGTCATCCCATAGGGTCCACCGAACACTGCTTGGAGTAAATCCTGAGTGCAGAGTCAGGAATGACCCCTGAACATTGCCCTCTGTGGTCCCCAAACCAAACCAAACCAAACCAAACCAAACCGAACCGAACCAAAACAGAGGCCAGCGGAGCAAGAATCCCATAGCTAACATCTTCAAAACCAGACACTTGAAGAAGAATATGTGGAAATACCAATATAGCACACGATGTATTTGGTTTTGGTTTGGGTGCTAAAAACAGTCAGTGGTGCTCAGGGATTTCACGTGGTTTGGTGTTCAGGGATCACACCTGGGGGGTCTCGAGGTACCCTGTGGAGTGCCAAGGAGCCAACCCAGCTGCGTGCAGGGCAAGTGCCCTCCCTATGCCCCCTCGATGCAGTAAGTTGGTGAAGGAAGGATCGCTACGACAGAAATCACGTACCCCTTGGCCCTGATCAAACAGCTTGTCAGTCCTCACCAAACGAAACCTGGAAGGGAGACCAGAGACACCAGCAATCAACATCTGTGGAAGGGGCTGGAGGGATAGCACAGCGGGTAGGGCATTTGCCTTGCACACAGCCAACATGGTGGACCCAGGTTCGATTCCCAGCATCCCATGTGGTCCCCCGAGCACTGCCAGGAGTGATTCCTGAGCGCATGTAACCCTTGAGCATTGCCGGGTGTGACCCAGAAACAATCCGCCCCACCTCCCCCCCCCCAAAAAAGAGAAAGAATAAAATAAAAACAAAAATTTGGGTTTGGAGGGAATACGGTACACTGGGTAGGGCACTTTCCTGGCACAGGGCAGACCCGGGTTTGAGCTCTGACACCCCATACGGTTCCGCAAACACTGCCAAATTCCTGAGTGCAGAGTCAGGAGTGACTCCTGAGCACTGTTTGATTTGTGTCCCGGAAACACCACAAACCCAGACATTAAGAGCGGAAGGGGCACGCACACACAGGCACACAGAGCTGCTCGTTCATTCCCGGGGTGGGCCCTGCACTTGGTCAGCTGTCAATGGCACCCTGCAGCCACAGTGACCTTTAGATCAATTCTTCCCTGAAATCTCACGCACTCCTCTGAGTCAGGAGTGAAAATGATCTCGTCCCCGGCCCCTCCTTCCCCTGAGCCCTGCAGAAACCCCAGCCTGGGAAGGGTGGCCCCACTGGCTCGGCTCTCTAGGTGTGGCCGGAGGACACGGCAACAAGGCCTGCGCCGTCGCCACCAGCAGCGTCAACAGCAGCATCTTCCCTGGGGATCCGCTGCAGGACACTGGCCTTTAACGGCCTCCTCCTCCGGGGACCCCCGGCTCAGTCTGGGCATGCGCAGACGGTGCTCCAGCAGGAGGGTCTGGGCTTGGGGGAAGGGAGTGAAGGCTGCGGGGGAGGTGGGGGCAGGAGGTCGAGCAGGCGCTTGTCGGTCCCGGATCGGCCCCATTCGGGGCACATTTGGTGGACTGTGCACGGCCTCCCGCGAAGGCCAAAATGAGCCAACAGCGAAGCCCCCCCCCCCCCCCCACGCCTAAGCGCAGAAGGCATGGGACTGCCCACATGCGGCCAAGGTCCACTGGAGGCTAACCCTGCTTTGGTCTGAGGGTGTCAACCGTGCACCCTTAGGGGCTGGAGCGATAGCACAGCGGGTGGGGCGTTTGCCTTACACATGGCCGACCCGGGTTCGATTCCCAGCATCCCATAGAGTCCCACTGAGCACCGCCAAGAGTAACTCCTGAGTGCATGAGCCAGGAGGAACCCCTGAGCATCATTGGGTGTGACCCAAAAAGAAAAAAAAAAAAACAAAAAACCCAACCGTGCACCCGTAGAGTTGGTCCTGGTGCACACGTCTGGAAGAGGGCTAGGCCCGGCCGCAGGACTGCGCCCGGACCCCGCCCCCTGAGCTCGGGCCCAGCCCCCTGCGTCCGGGCCCCGCCCTATTTCTCGGTCACGCCCCCACCCACTGATTTGACCCCGCCCCCTGCGCCTGGGCCCCGCCCCCTGCGTCCGGTCCCCGCCCTCACGGGGGCCACGCCCGATTCCTCGCCCGGGCCATGTCCACATCCATTGCTTTGACCCTGCCCCCTGCACTCGGGCCCCGCCCCCTGCGTCCGGACTCCGCCCTCACCCGGGCCACGCCCGATTCCTTGGCCACGCCCCCGACCCCGGTCACGCCCCACCCACTACTTTGACCTCACCCCCTGAATCCGGACCACACCCTCACCTGGGCCAGGCTCGATTCCTCGGACGCGCCTCCGATCCGGGCCACGCCCCCACCCACTGCGTTGACCCCGCCCCCTGCGCTCGGGTCCCGCTCCACCCACCCCCCCGCCCCCCGCGCTCGGGCCCCGCCCGATTCCTCGGCCACGCCCCCGCCCCGTCCCCGCCCACTGCTTTGACCCCGCCTCCTGCGCCCGGACCACGCCCTCACCCGGGCCACGCCCGACTCCTCGACCACGCCCCCAAACCGGGCCACACCTCCTGCTCTCGGGCTCCGCCCCCTGCATCCGGGCCACGCCCGACTCCTCGACCACGCCCCCAAACCGGGCCACACCTCCTGCTCTCGGGCTCCTCCCCCTGCATCCGGGCCCCGCCCGATTCCTCGGCCACGCCCCCGCCCCGTCCCCGCCTATTGCTTTGACCCCGCCCCCTGCGCCCGGACCACGCCCTCACCCGGGCCACGCCCGACTCCTCGACCACGCCCCCGACCCGGGCCACGCCCCACCCACTGCTTTGACCCCCGCCCCCTGCGCTCGGGCTCCGCCCGATTCCTCCGCCACGCCGCCGCCGACCCGGGCCCCGCCCCGCCCACTGCTCTGGCCCCGCCCCCGCCCGAGGGGCCAGGGTCACGGCGGCGGGCTGCTGTGGGTCGCTGCGCTGGGCTGGGCGCTGCGGGGGCCGCTGCTGGCCGGCGCCGGGGGGCGGGTCGCGGCGGCGGGCGGCGCTTGGGGGCGGTGCGGCTGGCGGGCGCGCGACGCCGCGGCCTGCTGGGCGCCCTGGGTCCGCGGGCCCGCGCCGGCCGCTCCGCGCCGGCCGCTCTGGAACGCGGGCGCGCGCGGGGGCGCGTTCGCGGGCGGCGAGGACGGGCCCGAGGGCGGCGGCTCGGAGGACGGGGGCGCGGGCGGGGGCGCTGCGGGCGCGGGGGGCGGCGAGGGCCCCGCCGTGACGGCGCTCACGCCTATGACCATCCCCGACGTCTTCCCGCACGTGCCGCTCGTCGCCGTCACGCGCAACCAGGTGTTGACGCGCTTCATCAAGATCATCTAGGTAACGGGGCGCCCCGGCCCGGTCCGGGTCCGGGTCCGGTCCGGCCGGAGATCCGGGCCCTCGCGACCTCCAGGCTCACCCCCGGTGATGCACGCGCGAATCGCTCCCGGCTTGCACGCGGGGTCCCGGGGCTCGAATCCGGGCCGGCCGCCTGCAAGGCCAAGAAGCCCCCCGCAGCCGGATTTCTCCCCCCCCCCCACTAGAAAGGACCGGAGCCCCCAAGAGCCTCCCTGCTTTGGGGGGGGGCGGGAATCTTGCTTGCACCCCGGGGGGCTTGTCCGAAGCCCCCTCATTCGCCGCCCACGGAGAAACCCCGCGGACAGGGCAACGTCGCGGCTCGCGAGCCCTGGCGGGGGTCGACCCCACTCCGGAGACCCCCGAGCGCGCCGGTGCTCGGGGCACCGCCAGGGACACGCTGTGTGTTTTTTGCCTTTGTGCGTTAGTAGGTTGGGGCAGAGCGGAATGGGTGTGTGTGTGTGTGTGTGTGTGTGTGTGTGTGTGTGTGTGTTACATTGTTGCGCTGGAGTTTCATGCATTGATACAGTTTTCTCCCCTTTCTCCCTTGAACTGTCCTGGGGACCCCGAAACCCCCAGTACCACGGGCCTGGGGATGCATCTCTGTGGCTCATTTCAGTGTCTGTGACCGGCTCCCAAGTGGGCCTTGTGGACGGAGGGGCAGACGGCTGGGAAGGTGACCTCTTCGGGATTGCAGTGCCGGGGAAGAAAGGGAACAGCGACCCCCCCAGACTTGGACGCAGGGAGCCCTGAGTGGGGGAGGGGAGGTGGGGCTGGCTGATGTAAGAGGGTGAAAGAGACTTGGGTGCCCGGAGCTTGAGTTTTCAGAGCAGGGGAAAATCCCGAATGTGATTCCCTCCTCCCCCTCCTCCCGCCCCTCACCACCCTCCCCCTTCACCTCCCCCCTCCATGCCGTGGAATCTGTAGAGCTCCAGGGGGAAAGGTCATCTGAGCGAGGGAGGTCACCCAGTGATTCAACCTCCTGTCCCTGAAGCCCATGTCCCGCTCACTGAGCTGCGCACCGGTGTCTGCCGAGTGAATCGGCTCCCCGGATCTCCCGGGACTGGCCTTGGAGAGGGTGCCGAAGGCCTCCTCCCCCACACACCCACCCAAGTCTCAGTGATCTTGCCCAGAGAAGGAGTCGCGGTTCCTGAACCCCGCCCTCCCCACCAGTCTGCTCCTCCAGGCCTCCTGCATGACAGTGTCTCACCCACCTCCGACCTCTGGGGAAGCCAGGCCACACGTGGGAGAGTTCAGCCATGCCTGGGGGCCCCAGTCGGGCGCTGTCGGGGGCCTGGCTTTGCCCGGGCTTACCTTGCATGGCGCTAAACCGGGTTCCAATTCTGGCCCCACGTGGGGTTACCCGAACCTTGCTAAGAGGGATCCCTGAGTACTGTTGGGGTCGGGGAGACGGCACGTGCTTCCAAGCTTCTGGATCCCAGGCGCCCCACATCTCCCTCGAGCACTGGGTTGGTCGGGAGGAGCGCTCAGACACCTCCAGGCCCCGTAACGGGATGCCGGGAGGGGCTGCAGGCTGCGGCAGAGGCTTTGCACGCAAGAGCCTGGGGTTCAGTCCCCCCACCACATGATCTGCCCGCACTGCTGGGGGTGAACGCCAAGCCGAAAAGAAAAATTTTGGTTTTCGGGCCACGCCCAGTGATATTCGGGGGTGACTCCTGGCGGTGCTTGGGTGACTGATGGTATAGGGTGCCGGGAATTAAACCCGGGTCGGACACAGGCAAATGCCCTCCCCACTGTCCTGTCTCTCCACTCTCACCTCACCCCCAAGCTTATACTTTTAAGCCAAAAACTCTGCTATTTGGGGCTCTGTGACAGTCTAGAAGTGTGCCCTCCCAGACCCATAGTACAGTCGGTAGAGCGTTTGCCTTGCATGTGGCCGACCGGGGTTCAATCCCCGGCATCCCAGACGATCCCCTGAGCACTACCATGAGTGATTCCTGAGTGCAGAGCCAGGAATAACCCTTGAGCTTTGCTGGGTGTGACCCAAAAAAGCCCCCCCCCCCCCAAAAAAAACACAAATTTGCCCTTTAGCAGGGTTCTACCCCTCTCCTTGACCCCCATGCCCAGGAGGCCTTTCTTTCCGCCCAGCCTTTTAGGGTCAGGCCTGTGCCTCAGCTCCGGGCCCCCTCGGCCCTGCGGCAATGGCAAGAACCCCTTGTCCTCCTGTCCAGGCCCTCGGGGAGTTTCTGTCGCCGCACCTGAGCTGGCCCCAGGGTCAAGGAGCTGCTGGCCGTGGGGCTTCCCTGACAGCAGCGCACAGATGTCCCGCACCTGCACTTGGGAGTTGGGGGCAGCTGTGCTGCTGGCCTGTGGGTAGCCCAGGGCCCAAAGCCCCTTGACCCTGCCTGCGGCTGAACTGCTCTACTCCCCCATCTGGGCTGAGAAGCGGCCCCTGATGCGACGCAGCTTTCAGTCAGGGCCCGAGCCCACCGGCTGCGGGTGTGGACAACGTCCTGACCACCCGGTCCCGAGACCCCCTTGCAGACACCAGGGGAGGGTGGGTGGCTGCAGAGCCAGCAGCAGGCTGGGGCTGGGCCCCTCTTGCCCCAAAATGTCTCCGAAGCGTCAGACCCTCCCTGGCCGCTGTCTAGAGCCCTTGCTGGGGTTCGAAGAGGAGGGATGGGGGTGATCCCGACCTTTGGCCCGCTTGGCGGCTGGACAGTGCCCGGCTTGCCTGGGCGCCACGAGGGGGCGCTTCTGAGCACGCAGCCGGGAATTATAGCACCAAAGCGCCGCCAGGGGGCGCTGCTGCGCGCAACCAGGAACTGGCCCTGGGCACCCCCCAGCACGGGTCCCGCCACCAAAGTGCTCCTGGCTCAGATCGCCAACAGAAAACCGCGCTGGACATTGGACTTTTGGCCCGTGTCTCGGTTCTGGCCGTTGGAAGTCAAGGTCAGCTGGCCGGGCCGCCCCCGGCCCCCCGGGCCCCTGGTCCCGGCTGATGTGGCGCAGGCACCCCCCTCACCTGGCCTCCCCTCCGCCCTCGCCAGGCCCTGACGGCCGAGATCGTGAAGACCATCCGGGACATCATCGCCCTGAACCTGCTTTACAGGTGGGGCCTGCGGGCAGGTGGGCTCGGCCGCCGGGGGGAGGCTGGGGGGCACTCCGGTCCCCCCCAGACTGTCGGGTGCCGGGGCCTGGAGT